AGCCTTGCCTTTACTTGCTGCATATGGTGTGCAGATATTCTCTCTGAATGCAGCATGGTAGAGATTTTTGTCTGTTTGGAGTACAGAATGGATCCAGAATACAGGGGGCTATTACAAGAAAACAAAATGTAAGATTGGCCACTGAGAAGCCAAGACTTTTTGAAGAGGCGAGACTGATTAGGAAACACACTCACCCTCTAAACGCACCCTGGAGAAGTTGGAACTCCCAACACACATCTCTTCTGAGCCTGTTTTCAGTCTGCCGCGTGGAGTTTTCCTTTGTTTGACGTTGATTGAAGACATACGTGTCATTTCAAAATTAACTAACAATATTAAAACAAAGCTGGAACTAAGTCAAACTCTGTTTTCCATTTCTATCTTCTGTAAACCAGTTTCTAAATTAAAATCTTGGATACAAATATGGATTCTATTCCTTCAAAGCTGACAGATCTAGAGCACCTGCTGAGAACACAAAAAACTTTAATTGACATTGAAAGATCAATAGCTCTACAGTCAGTCCAAGATCCAGCTAACCCATTAGGAACTGCTTAGTGCATTTTCTGCAAGATTGATTCTCTAACAAATATGTGACAGGCAATCATTAATGAGGAATAATAACTACTATGGGAACAGTGATAGAAATGTAGCCATGTTAGTCTGTTTACTGTGGGAACAGTAATACCAAAATCTTGTGAAGGTAGGAGCGACAAACCCTTTTGTGTAATAGGCTAATATTAGTATTTTATTTGGTACATGCATGATGGGTACAAATAAGGGTGGCCATAAAATCTTAAAAGTTCCCCAACTTTTCTGTTACCTTATGTTCTGGATCCATCGCATACTGTAATTATTTATCAACAGAGAATGGTTTTGTTTATTGCCAAAATGTGTGTTTTCTTAATGTACACAGTTTAGTGATGAGATATTTAAACTGTGTTGCTTCCCTTGTTTTTCAGCATCATAAAATAAGTTCAAGCCCTCCTGAAAAGGACTTATTCTTTGTCTCATTGCAAAATACATTTAGCGCAGAGAGAGAGAGAGTAAAAGCTGACTATAAAACCTGCCACTAATGGCAAATTTGGCATGCGAGATTCTGTTTTTTCTCTTACGCTGGTATTAACTGGGAGGAAAATGGCCATTCCCTACTGGATTTAACCTGGGAATAGACTAATTTCTAAGACTTCTGAAGGGTGGGTGGTTTATACACAAAGGAGATACTGGCTTGAATCCCTTCTTGCCCCATATTCCTGCTTTGTGGACTGCCCACTGGTTCCTTTCTGAGAACAACCTCTGCCAACTGCTGTCTCTCCTCCGCTCACAAAGCGGCGTGGGGGGAGGGGTTAGGGAGATGGAGCCCAGAGCAGATCTCTTGCTGAGGGCGGTGGGGGTGCAGACAGCAGTGGAGCTGTGAGTCTGAGGCTGACCACATAACTGAGGTGACTCTTTGGATGACTGGAAAGATAGTGGAGGGCTCCATTTGAAAATGGGTGAGGAACAGTTTGGGATCATGTGTTTTGAGGGGCCCAGGAGCAGACAAGGGGTCCAAGGTGAGAGTTCCTTCGTCCTCATCCCTTTGGTATAATTCACTGAGGGACTGCGTGTACTCTCCCTGAAGCCTGGTGGTCCCTTTTTACACTTTGAATCACTTGGTTTGGCTTTTAGAAACGAAAACAGACTTCATTATATTAAAGAACAGATTTCCCTTTGCCTGACCCAAGCGCTCTCACTCTGCAAACCCCAGTGGTGTGCCTGGTGCTTGCTGTGCATGGAGGGCTGAACCTTAAACAAAAGCTGTGGGTACTTAGCTCTGCTATTGCTCTGCATTCTCTTGTTCTTTCCATGCCGCTCAGCATAGGTGAAGTGTCCTTGACCTCTGTGTTTCTCTCTTTTTTGGGTGGCGGATAGTGTGTATTCAGGACATCAATCTATTTTGGTCCCTCCTCTTGAACTGGAGAGCAACGTGTCGTTGTGGTTATCTGCTGTAAGTCAGTACAAAGTGCGCGTCACCTTCTGTTCTTACTCTGTCATGGAGATGTGTACCAAAGGCCTGGGAACACAGACAGATGTTCTTCGGGTAAGTTAACTTTATTTTTGCATTAGGGATGTGATATAGTGTAGTCGGTTAACTGATAAGCAAAAACTTATGGGGTAATGCTATAGTCCACATGCATTTCCTCTCCATGCCCTCAGTCCTGGCTCACACTGGGTCTAGGACCTACCTCTGCTGCAGCTCTGTATTTATAGACAAGCAGCCTCACTCGCTTTCTGGCTTATGCCAGGTTTGGGAGCGCAGGCCCCGCTCCCTCGTGGGTAGGAGCTAATGTCACACCACACTGCTGGGCCTCTGTATCAGCTGGTCCGTGAGGGGGAGCTGGTTTTTAAACTGGCTCCCCTCACAGACCAGCTGTTACCTAGTACTCCATGCTGCTGCCGGTCTCACCCTCAGAGACTATAGAATAGTTGATTAAACAATAAGAATTCATGAGGTTAATCAACCATTCAGTTAACCAATATTTAACATGCCTATTCTGCATATGCTAACATACAAGTAAAGTGTGTGTGTGTGTGTCCCTCTGGTGTTTCTAGTTCATTGTCAGTCATCAGCTATAAAATGAACTCCTTCATGGAATCTCTGAATGCCTTGAAGTAAAGTGTGCTTCTTGGCAAATGCTGCTGTTGAGATTGCTGGATGTCACTTGCTCTCAAATTTAATTTTAAAAAAATTACATTTTGTATTTGGTGTTTCCATGTTGGATCTGAAGTAACAAGGTATTTTTAATTTTGAAATTGAGAAAAATATTCAGCAAATTCAGTGAACTTGTTCTTTCTAAAAAAGGAAAAATAAAACAATTGGTGTCCCCCACTTGTCAATCTTCTCTTTTCCTAGGTCAGAATTCTCCACACCCAAAGTCCTGAACCATTAAGCTGCCTATTAGCCTTTGACACACACAGACCTAAAAGGACATCATAAACTGTGCTCTTGCCCAGAACATAGCTCTGCATTTTGGAACTTGGAAACAACAAAAGTTTACCAGTTGAACATAGACTTTTGGTGTGATACATCTTTTTTGAAGCCCCACACACACAAACTGCTAACGTTTTATAGTTTGTCTGGTTTGCTGACCTCCTCCTTTAATTCAGTGGGCAGCAGTTTCAGCATCCAGTGAGCATATAGAAAGCATGGCAGCTTGTAAAACCTGGAGTGAGATGGTTCATTAATATTGATGGTTAAAGATGCCCCTCTTGTTGCCACTTATGAGGCTCCTGCGTCAGAATAACACTGCACTTTTACTCAGCTGAGGAAACCTCGTTTTTGAGCTACATGAACACAGTGATCTCAATTTTCCAATATGGAAGTTGGTGACAGTGAGGAGTTATATGAAAAATCAGGCAGAATTGCAGCTAGGGACTCCTCCTAAGCTGGAAACATGCAGAAGCAAGGTCCAGAAATGGAAGTCTTCTGCAGTTACTATTTTCAGAGGTTACTTTCTTTGTTCAGTCGTGCTGCTTACACTGAAAATCATTACAATTAACCTGGCTGGCAGTAGCAGACTTCCCTTTGCCAGGTAGTCTTGTGATACCCTTAAAAACAAAAAAGGGGGAGAGGTTGTTGAGCCCATGTTATTTTTTTAAGCAGAAGTATTAAGTAGTAGTATGCATTACATTTCCTAGGTTCCTCTCCAGGAGACACAATCATTCCTGACATTTCTAAAGTCACTCTATCCCTTAGGCCAACTCTGTAGAATTAGTATTCTCCTGAAGTTGCTAATTTCTGTGTTCTGAGATGGTGTTTTCTTTCAAATACCCTTTCCAATAGGTGAAGGGAGTTAACCTGTCCTGTGTACGAACATGTATGGTGGTGGCGGAAGAGAGACCAAGGATTGCACTAACACAGTCCTTCTCTAAATTATTCAAAGACCTGGGCCTTTCTGCACGCGCAGTGAGCACCACATTTGGCTGCAGGGTCAACGTAGCTATTTGCTTGCAGGTGAGATTGGCAGGAGAATAATCCATTCAGCTAGGGCACATCATAGAACTGTAACAGAAAATCACAGAGAGCTGTGTCCGAACTTCGTATATTGAATTTTGTGGGTGGGTTTTCAAATCCATGCTTTCCCTGCATGCCTTCCTACTAAATCACTGAAATAAGTTCTAAAGGGTTGGGTTTTTTGGCATGGCTGGAATGGGGGACTTTGAGTATATTGTGGTCTTACCATTCTGTAATGATGGATGGACAACTGAGCTTGTAATCAATGCAAAAATGGTGTACTATGACATTGTCAGCTAGAATGAACTGTACTAAGATGAATATGTAAGTTGCTGTGGCTGTGCATCATAAATATTTCAAATCATTATCATTATAATTCTGTGAGATTATGATTTCAACTTTGCATTTTGGTACTTGTTTATGTGTATATGGAGCTTATTGGACAGTCCTTCAAATAAGAATTCCATGTTAAAGAAACTATCATGTTGATAAGCGCTACAATTTTCTTTGCATACTGCCTTGCTTACATTTTTTAGGACAAAATCTTTGGAGTTTTTTAATGTGCCACTACTGATATATTTTCCCGTACGAAGTATGATGGGGACATAATGGATGCCTTTAAAATGTACAGGCATAGAGCAGGAAGGATAACAGTCAGTGTGTCTTCCTGCAATCACAGAGCAGGAAGGGTGGCATTCAGTGGTGTCTTGTTTGGTTATTTGGTACTTCAGTCACAGTTAACTTCTTGTGGCTAACTGAACCAGATTTAAATCTAGTTCTATTAAGCCACATAGATATGGTGCCTCCTCTCACCAAAAAGGGTAAAGCATGTTGTTACTGAACATAATTGAGCACCCTGTGGCTATAAAGCCATAGTGTCCAACCAGTTCTACTGCTATAGCGAACTAGCCACATTCAACTGGCCAAACAGCCACATGTGGCTAGCTTGTTGGACACAATGGCTATAAAGGGCTATCGACTAGTAAAGTGACAGATGCCCTACATGATAACCATGTTAACTTGGGAAGACACCATGATCACAAAGGTGATTCTCTCAGGGTGAGGCTCATCCATTGTACTGTGGGTGTGCTGACCCATGTGATAGTCCCAAATGCAGGAAACTTGACTGCATAATTTGTGGTAGTGGGGGACTGCGCTTGCACCTTCCCCTGTTACAAAAACAAAAAACCTCTGTACTGATGAAGTTTCATTGCATCTGTCAGGTGCTTGACCTTACCTTCATAGGAATTCCCATGAAGTCAGTGGGGCTTCTCACATGCGTAATGTTAAGCACGTGTATTCCTGTTTGCAGGTTTGGGGCCTTAAGTAATACTTTCATTGCAAGTCACACAAGCAAAGACTGCAGAGATTGTTACTACCGCTTCCTAAAATATCAGCTACAGGCTGTGCTATTTCCTTTTGGGGCTGCTACCACTAGAGGAAAAAAGGCCTCTTTTCTTTGGGAGCATATCTGAATGAATAATCCTTAGCAAAAGTTTTATGAATCTTAACCCCTAAAAGGCTACCTTTCTCTAATTGTTTAGAAGGAAAGGGGTTTATTTTTAAATGGTATAGGACGTACATTTAAACTCTGGTGGATTTTTTTTTATAGCTGACAGTTTTTCAAACTTCTTCTTTCCATATTGTATCTCTAACCTTGGGTGCAGTGTCTTGTAATTCAACCTTGCAAGTAGATATTATAATTCCAATTAATTTAGAAGTGCAACTTTGTTGTTATACACTTTACACCCTGTATAAATAAACTCTCAAATATGAGCTGGACAGATAACAACCTGCAGAAGAAATTATGTATCTACAGGGTAGCAGCAATACCACATAAGGAAAGCACAAAGTAATCTTGCGGCATTTTAAATTGAAGTGTTAAATTCCTCAAAGATAACTGACAAGACTCCAGACCTTGTATTGAATGCCAACAGTATTTCCTCATAGCAGACTTCAATTTCAGAATGAGCCATGTATGAGAGGCAAACCTTTTGAATTTGATGGGCCATATAGAATTGCACTTTAAAAGAACTACATAGTCTCTTTTGCACAGATGAAGGAAGATTAATTAAAAAACAAATTAATATATATCTCACATCAGAGGAAACTAAAAATGGATGGCCAGGTTAGTTTTATTACTGAGAACAAGTTATATCCATCCCTACATGGAGTTGCACTGCAGATGATTTGATGATGCCAGCCTTATTTATCTTTAATAGTGCCTTACCCTGGCCTGGGCAAAATACGGCCCGCGCGCCGGAGCAGGCCCACGGAGGCAGCGCAGAGTCCCAGGCAGGCTCCCCAGCTTGCCCCGCGTGCCATGCAGAAACATGGCTGCAGGGATCCATTTCTGTTTTAAAACTGGAGGGGAGGAGGGAAGTTTTAGGAGCTGTCCTACCCCCAGCACATTTTCATTGGCCAGTTTCTGGCAGACCCCAGCCAATGTGAGTTGCTTGTTGGGAGTTACAGGCAGCTAAGAAAGAATCTCACCCCCTCTCCTGGGTTCAGTTGCTCATGAAGCGCATGGCCCAGCAAGCAGCCAGGCTGGCTGGGGAACATTTTAAGCTCTGCAGGCAGGTAAGTCTCTTGGCCACAGCCTGCTTCTGGCACCGCAGCCCTTTCTTGCCCAAACGCTTTGCCCCTCCACTCCCCACCTCAACATACCCAAATCCTCTGTCCCCTTCTTGCACCCCAATCCCCTTCTATCGTAGCTCACATCTCAAACCCCTGTACTCCAGTCCTCTGCCCTAGATCACAACCACCTCCTTCACCCAAACTCCCTCCCAGATAGGGTTGCCAGGTGTGCAGTTTTGAACCGGACAGTCCGGTATTTGAGGGTTCTGTCCGGGAAACAAATTGAGAAAATACCGGACATAGAAATGTCTGGTGTTTTCTAATTAAGTAAGTTGTATTGTTATCATGAGTATCAGTATGTAGTTACGTACTGCCTGAATGGTAGACATGCTCACACTGTGTGAGCGTGTCTACCAGCCAGGCAGTACACAACTATGCAGTAGAGAGGCAGAGGCTGTGGGCAGGGCCAGGGCGGGATTGAATCCCCAGGGCCTGGCTTGCCAGTGTGCCCCACCAGGACCGTGTGCGGGATGGGCAGCATACACCCGGGCCAGCCCTACTCCCTGCCGCACCCTCCCCCCACTTCCCCCGAGATGAAGAGTGTATGGTATTTTTTTGAAATCATCTGGTAACCTTACTCCCAGACCCCATTCTCCCTCCTACACCCCAGTCCTTCACCCCAAGCTCCCTTCTGCACCCAACCTCCATCCCAGACCCCATGTGTCCTCCATTCATATCATGGAAGAGTGCAGCCCTTGACTGCTTTCCAAAATCTTGAAGTGGCCCTCCATCAAAAATGATTGCTTACCCCACTGCAATCAAAGGAGTAAAGCGGACAGAGTGAGGCTTATAGGGGAGAAATGAGCTACTCACCATTATGTGCAGTCAAAACAGTTAGTCCATCTAACGATTCAGGAGACCAACTTTTTAGGTACCTTTTTTTAAAGTCTTGGCAACATCTGTAATGACAAAAGGAAGAACAGGAAAAGGTGAATTTGTGGCCACTGAACATTGCCCCTACAAGTAAAAATGAAGGCACATCAAATTTTAGCAAGCAAAATAGGGGAGGGAAGAGCCTCTGGAGAGCCATACCCCTCACAGAGCCATCCTTTGTGAAGAGATCTGCTTGCTGAATTCACAGATAGTGGGAGACTATCTTTAGTCTGTCCATGTGTTTCTGTCCAGTGGAAGTGTCTATTTTATGGAAATGAATTAATCCTCAAGCTCCACAAATGCGACTCCACAAATGTAAACAATTCCTATTTCTAAACTATTCTAAGCAAGCTGTCAAGAACAGAGCAGTACAGACAGTTACAAGTTTTCCCAACATGCACTTGCTGACCACTGTCACTGAAGATTTTTCAAATTGTTCCTCTGCCCAAAAACCTAACAGCCCAAAACATCTCATTTGCAGTGTTCTGTCTGTGTGCATCGGTGCTGTCCAGTGTTCCCGCTAAGCAGCACAGTAGCACAGCTTCACAGACAGACTCTGACTGGGTGGGGCTGATTAATCACCTGTGAAGCTGTGCTACCATGCAGCTTAGGGGGAACACTGGGCCTGTCCACACCAAGTATTTTCAGGACAGATTAACTTGGAAATAAATACCTAATATCTTCCTATTTTAAAAGACCAGATTAGTGTAAAGTTCCATTTTGAAGCCATAAATACCATTAAATACTTATAAGTGAGAAAAGGGGAAGTATGGTACAGTGGCAAGCATGCAAGTTCAGTGCGTTCTGAGATTTGTGCATATTTTCCAATTAATCATTTAAAGAAAATCCTTGTTCTTTCAAAAAATCTTAAATGGAAATTCCTTTCTTTTGTTCTCAGATGCTATGACTTTTTGTTCCTGTTCTATCGTGTGTATCTCATGTCTCCTGTGCCTCTTTGTTTGTATTTTTCTTTCTTTTCTCTGTTTCTCACACTTTGCTGGCCTCTGTCACTTCTGTTTGTGGTCCCTCTGTCAGCCAAACAGGCTGGGCAAGCTGGCTGAACAGGTATAGTGATGCATGTGTGTGCTTGTAATGTCCTAAAGTCCTTTATCAATGCCTATGCTGTAAATGTAACCATATAATGGAATTCTCACTTCAAACTGGTCAAATGAGTTTTTCATTTTAAAGAAATTGTATTTTGCTCACAGAGGTCACTTCTCGATGGAGGACAAGAATTCCTGCTTAAGCAGGGGGGACAGTATAGTGCACAGATTTTTATAGGAAGTGTTCAATGGTCCACTCCTAGAGTTGGCACTCACATTCTTAACCAGGCTAAAGAGCAGCATTGTCGTTATACAGAAAACAACACCACACAAGGTGTTTTATTAACATTGTTACAAAGCACCAAAGGCATGTTGTTCTAAGGAAATTACTGGTTATTGCTGTCCCAGCCCTGTTGTCTTGAGCAGACTACAACTGGTGTCATTGTCTTATGGATCTTGGTCCATGCTAGGGTGAAGCTAAACAGCAGCTGGGAGGTATGATTTCCAGCCCAGATAGATGCACCCCAATGCTGCTTGAGCTATCATGCCAAAAATAGTAGCGTGGACATTGTGGCAAGTGCAGTGGTTTGGGCTAGCTGCCTCAATCCAAGTCTGCCAGCCCCTGCATGCAAGCTTGGGTGGCTAGCCTGTGCCACCACATCCACAGCAGAGCTAACTTGCCTGTGTCTCCGCAGCTTGGGAATCTCCCCTCTCCTCCCAGCTGCAGTGCAGACAGACTCCTAGATGCCAAATCAAAAAACAGGACTATGCAGCACTTTAAAGACTAACAAGATGGTTTATTAGGTGATGAGCTTTCGTGGGCCAGACCC